TTTCAAATTAAATGTATAAATGTCTTGTACCTTATTAATGAACTTCCAATAAAAACAACCTGGACAATTGTTGAGAGTTTTATCCTGACCTGCTGAAGCTTTTCACTTATCAACCACAGCTCATGAAAGTAAAAGTCATAACTATCTTCATTTACAAACCTGAAGGATTGGGTGCATTTCTCAAATTTCTTTTTTCTATTTGTACAAATCAATATGAATGATTTCCTATAGAAAAAGACTCTCTACCAATAAAAATGGTAATCCATCCAACCATCCATGGTTCGACCAAACAAGTCAACATACAGAGAGAGCAATGACGGTAATGATACCCTCAGTGTAGCGTTTAATATAAGGTTTGAAGCCATTGTTATCTTCATGAAAATGAGAATATATATATATATATATATATATATATATATATATATATATATAAACAATTCACAAACAGTATGACTTTGGGAAACTTCTGGTTACTATTCTTAAGATATTTTTGGTGTATGTTTCCATTTCAACTTTTAAATGTTATCAACATTTGGTCCTCATCATTTCAAAGTACAAAATAACAAGATTTTGGACATTTACAAAAATAATGTGCTTCAATTAAAGAATGTTGACCTCAAGTCTGGTATCAAAGTCATAAATATTCCATGTGACTGGAAATTCTCTTCCGTTAAAGACGTCACTACAACCGCGCAATAAAATCTTTCCCATAAGCCCAGAATAAAGGTCAAATTTAACCGTACTCCCGCCCCGCCCTTGCGCGTACCTGTGGAGGTGCGCACAGCAGCCGCACCTGTGCGCAGCTGCGCACCGCGCCCTCTTTCCACACTCTCCCCTGCCTTTGTGTTTGTGTGCGTGTCTGTCTGTGACTGTCAGTTAGCAGTTTCACCGTCCATCAACAACTGACCTCTCGCGGACATGCCGAAGCTTTTAACTTACCTCCACGGTTCGGAGCTGGTGGTTCGGTTCCAGAGACGGTGCGGACTGTATCTGCTGGAAGCCGAGCATCACAGCTGCGCCAGGTCGTGCTCTCCAACTGCCAACGGTCACGCGGGCCCACGTGGAGTGAAGCAGCTGGAAGACAGGCACAACATCCAGGACAACAAACACAACAACAATCAGTACAAAGAGAATGGCGGTGGCACTCCTGTAAGTGGTTCTTTTTTCCTTTCTATTGCAAACAAACAAAACTGGATCATCTGCTCAACAGCCACGGCAGGGAAGTGTTTTAATGATCACGTGATCGTGAACTGACGTTTAAATGTAACAATACAAATGGACATCGACACTTCACTGAAACAAACTTTCGATTAGTTTTCCTTAGTTTCCTGCACTTCAAACCTGACTGGCTTTTCTAGTCTGTCCAGGTCTGACACTTTCCTCCTCCACATCCCCAGACCAGTGTGAGATGTTTACATTCATGTGTCTGGTGTTATTGACTTTAAAGATAGTGTTTAAAAATATTTTTTTATTTTTGCCACATTATTGGTGGGGGTGTACAGCTCCACTGAACAGTTGCTGCATAATGTTCCCTGGTTCAGATGAATCTGTCTGAAAATACATTTTTTCTGTATTAATTGTGTCACCAAAATGTAATTTTTTTTATTTGAAAATTTCTGTATTAATTGTGTCACCAAAATGTGTTTTTTTTTATTTGAAAATATTTTAACATTATGTGTATATTACCAGACTCAACTGATTGACTTATCAGGTGCAACTGTGCCAATTAAAACTGCAGATTATTCTTTGCATGATTAAATTATATTTGCTAAACCAGGGATGTCAAACATAACGCCTGTGGGCCAAAACTGGTCCGCAAAAGGGGTTAAATCTTATTGTTATTTAACAAGGTAAGGTCCGTTAGTACCATGTGGTCTTTGCAGGGAATTCCACAGCGTTTGAAGTTTGAACTGCCTGAGTGTCTGAATCAGATTTGATTCTGTATGCTAAATGCTAAGGCTCATGTCATTTTGTTATTAACAAGGCCTGAACTGTCTGCAGGTCAACAGCAGGCCTCAGTACGAGGTGAGGAACTGGCTGCTGCACTTCCTCTTCCTGTTCTCTTCAGGCCTGGGTCATGAAATCTTCTACATCACTTTTCTTCCCTGCATTCACTGGAACCTGGACCCATTTCTGTGTCGACGCCTCGTCAACATCTGGGCTGTGAGTGGCAGAGAGTTCCTTTTTACACAAAGTAGACATACTGTATGCAGTAGACTGTACGGTGGGGACAAGGACCAGACTAAAGTGCTGAGGCATCACATTTTGATACAAACAAAGAGCGAGACAGAGTGGTCAGAAGTACTGCAGCAAAGCCTCAACTTTCTTGTTTTCCATCCATTACTGTCACGGCCTAATATTTGAGCGTAAAACAGCAGAATGCAGGGAAGCGACTGTCAGCTACTCAGGCCTCCAGACGAAGAGATTTCTGACCTTTACCACTGTATTAAATATAAATGTATTTCAGATTGATCACCGTCAGAATGGTGGTTATTGCTGAATCAGAAATGACACAACAACAATTAATGAGAAGGATATTGACTGCGTAATTCACAGGTAAAAAAACAGGTGTTTTTTTTTCTCTCATAAATAAAACATTTGATGGTGAAGCTCTGAGGGAGCCAGAGCTTGGAAACTCCTCTCAGGCCCAGTTCTAATCTGCTCTGTGGTCCCTTCACAGAACATTCTCTGTGACTCTATCACATCAGCTGGGTGTCTGTTTTTAACTGACACCACACAACAGGCTGCAGCGTGTCTGTGGCCATCACTTCTAATATGATCACAGGACTGAAGCGTAAAAATACTCTGGTGTGTTTTAAACAAAAAAAAACATTAAATCCAGCCATCGTTCAGATGTGCCGACCCACTGCTCTATGATTCCTAAGAAACTCTTGTTCATCTGGCAGCTGTTCATCCAATCAAAGTCATGTGCTGACCCATTTCATTTCATACGCTCCAATGCTACAGAAACAGGCAATTCTGTACTAGTAAAGTACGAGTAACTAATAAAAAAGCTTGTGCTTTTAGTAAATAAACGATGAATAAAATGTTAAAACGTTGTAGTTACATTAGCTTTTTTCCAAATCTAATGCAACTAAATTAAAAAAACAAATCAAGATGCACCTTAGCGCAGGACACGTTAATGTCGAGGCTAGTATAGTGCTAAACATTTTACGTGACTGAATAGGTCTTTTGTCTCAGCTAATGTTTCAAATATACACATAAATATAACTCAGGCGTCACAGCTGTCATGTGACTGTCCGTGATAAAAAGATGGACGCTCTGGAGTGGCCTCTTCTATATTAACACCACTCTATTCTGATCGTCTGTCATTGACAATACCTCCTCTCTTTCTGCTACCATCTACTCCTCTTTTAGCCTCCCTTTCATCACCCCCCCCCCCCCCCCCCCCCCCCCCCCCCCCCCCCCCCCCCCCCCCCCCCCCCCCCCCCCCCCCCCCCCCCCCCCCCCCCCCCCCCCCCCCCCCCCCCCCCCCCCCCCCCCCCCCCCCCCCCCCCCCCCCCCCCCCCCCCCCCCCCCCCCCCCCCCCCCCCCCCCCCCCCCCCCCCCCCCCCCCCCCCCCCCCCCCCCCCCCCCCCCCCCCCCCCCCCCCCCCCCCCCCCCCCCCCCCCCCCCCCCCCCCCCCCCCCCCCCCCCCCCCCCCCCCCCCCCCCCCCCCCCCCCCCCCCCCCCCCCCCCCCCCCCCCCCCCCCCCCCCCCCCCCCCCCCCCCCCCCCCCCCCCCCCCCCCCCCCCCCCCCCCCCCCCCCCCCCCCCCCCCCCCCCCCCCCCCCCCCCCCCCCCCCCCCCCCCCCCCCCCCCCCCCCCCCCCCCCCCCCCCCCCCCCCCCCCCCCCCCCCCCCCCCCCCCCCCCCCCCCCCCCCCCCCCCCCCCCCCCCCCCCCCCCCCCCCCCCCCCCCCCCCCCCCCCCCCCCCCCCCCCCCCCCCCCCCCCCCCCCCCCCCCCCCCCCCCCCCCCCCCCCCCCCCCCCCCCCCCCCCCCCCCCCCCCCCCCCCCCCCCCCCCCCCCCCCCCCCCCCCCCCCCCCCCCCCCCCCCCCCCCCCCCCCCCCCCCCCCCCCCCCCCCCCCCCCCCCCCCCCCCCCCCCCCCCCCCCCCCCCCCCCCCCCCCCCCCCCCCCCCCCCCCCCCCCCCCCCCCCCCCCCCCCCCCCCCCCCCCCCCCCCCCCCCCCCCCCCCCCCCCCCCCCCCCCCCCCCCCCCCCCCCCCCCCCCCCCCCCCCCCCCCCCCCCCCCCCCCCCCCATGTGTCCTGTCTGTGACACCACCATGTCCACATAATCTCAAGCTGGAGGGTTTGGTACGGGGTCACTGATGGGAGCGGGCCAGACTGAGGGTCTGTGACATGGTTTGGGGCCAGACATCAGTGTCAGGGAAACCGTGCTCAGATCTCCCCTTTGAGTGTTCACGCTGACCGAGTTTGGCACATTACGTCAAACAAACATTCAACGATGTCACATGTAATGGCAGAAGGGGACGCTTCTGACACTCGCCGAGACACAGACGGCCTTGCTCCTGCCGAGTGTGTGACAGGCAGTGTTTTCGTGGCCTTTGTGCCTCTGCCCCGAGCGTTCCGTGGGTGCCCTGTGTCTGAACCCCGTGTTCGGCCCCCGGGGGAAAAGATCCCCTTCTTCTGGCATGCCGGCTGCATCTGTGCCCTATGTGAACTCCTTTGAAACACTCACAAATGCCAATACACACACAAATGCTCTCACTCCCCACCGCGCCTGCTAAACACGCTCATTACCCTCCCCCTAGTTAGACATTACCAGCTTTACTCTGGTTTCTCCTCCTCCTGATCCATCAGTGGAGTGTTTTATTGGCCTCATCAGTGGACTGAGCTTTCTCTCTCTGTCGTTTCCCTTCTGAACATTTGCTCCTTCAGCCCTGGGGCCATGTCACCCCTCGTTTCAAACTTCTAACAGCATCCTGCCATTGTCCTGCTGGAATCATCTGAGGTTCATGGAGGACACTGCTCAGTCTAACTCGCAAAAAAACCCAAACCCTGTCAGCGTCTCCTGCCATGGATTCAAGTGCAGCCCCAAACACATCACCGGCCTCTGAAACTAACACATGAGAGACTGTGTGTTCTTTTGTCCTTCACCAGTGTCCTCTGTTGTCACTGCTTGCCCAGTGCCTCTCATGGCCTGAGAAACAATGACTCATTAACCATATGGTCATGAATTGCATAGCAGGGTTGTTTGGTCTCACGTTCTGTTGTTCAACTACGGCACAGAGAACTTTTTTTTTTGGTGTAAAAGCTCCGCTCACTTTCTGTTCAGTTGGCTGTGTTAACCAACATAAAAAAAGATGGCACCCTGACGACACAACCAAAAGTTCTAAGAGTATAATGCCTCACAAAATCAAGTTAAAGGGCCAAGAAGATGTGTATAAGGCTCTAGTGATCAGATCAACTGTGTGGACTGGTTTTATAATTAGGGATGGAAAGAGAAATCTGCTAACCTGTGATAAGGGCACTGGTCTGTACATGAGGTTGTGTCGTCTTCCATCGATGTCCTCCAGGTCCTGTGCTCTAGGCCTACAAAGGAAAAACATGCAGATTAGGTTAATTGTTTCTAAATTAGCTACAGCTACGGATGTGAGTGTAAATAGTTGTTTTGCTCTTTATGCGACCCTGTGATGGACAAGTCAACTGTTGAAGGTGTTCACGCCAATGGTTGCTGATATTATCTCCTTTTTTAAATGGATAAATAAGGTGCCTCAAACAGTTCCTGATTTTTTAAATTGTTCACAGTGCTCATTTTATTTTGGTTTTTGCCACTATTTTTATTGCTCCCAAACTGTCACTTCATTCAGATGAATTGGCAGAAATTGTTTTTTTAATTTATTAAAACTTAAGTGGTGGATGGTAATATAGTTAGTGCTGAGAATGTGCTGGAACCTCAAACAACCGCTTGTGAAAGAGTTGGAATAAAAGCAGCCCCGGAGAACAATGCAGGTGGTATCTATTTTTAGAACAACACATGCTAACACCAGTATTTTCTGGCTCTTTCTTCTTCCTCCCAAATATATAGTCATGACTAATGCAGCACTACCCATTTTGAACTGTGACCTCCCCCGCCCCCTGTAGGTATAATTTACACAGATCCACATGTTGACAGATCAAGGTCCAGAGCGGATCGGTCCTTAATCAATACCCTCTTTCAGAAGGAGACACACATACACACATTGTTGGGCCCTTCAGTGTGTGAGGCCAGTAAATGATTAAACCACTATTCTTGTGGGGTCTAATAGTTCAGTCTTTAGGACTGGTAGTTTAAGGCAGGTTAGTAGTATCCAGTCGCTGGATGTGGACCACTTTAGTGTTCCCAGTTCTACAGGGATTACAGATTAATGAAATTATTCACAGAAATATACTTATTCATTACTAGAGCGGCTGCTAATGTGCTAACTTTCAACTTGTTAGCACTGGGTAGGATCTGGTTAAAAATGGTAATTAATGCAAAGCCACCAAAATTTTTTTTTTAAATGTGTCACTGTTTTCCTGTTTGTCTTCAACAGTGAACAGAGCACACGTTTAGAATATCAATAACAATGATAATTAGCCTATGCTCAGTTGCAGGCAGATAAACCACCATACACAGGAATCCAACGGCTGACATATTTCATTTCCTGGATGATCAAGTACGTAATTCAAGACTAATATTTTACTATTAGTATTTAATATTAACTTTGTTGACCTTTGTCCAGTGATGGGGCATAAATCAAACTAAAGGACTGGAAAATGAAAAAGGAAAACTACTGTATGTGTGTGTGTGTGTGTGTGTGTGTGTGTGTGTGAGAGAGAGGTTGTCAACTCTCCTCTTGGACATGTGGACAGACTGTCCTTGGGTCAGTCCTTTGAAGAACTGTACAAAGAAGACACTGATCTGCGGCTGGTGTAACGTCTCCACTGGGGGCAGATGAATGTGATGTTTGTGTTGACGGTANAGGAGGGGTATCATATCATTGAAGCCAGTGGGCAGATAATTGTGTGCAGACAGTGGATGGAGTGTACACTGCACTGCAGGACTCTTATTGTTTAAATACACTGAGCCAATGGCAGTGGTCATCGTCCTCTGTTCATTGATCGCTTGGTACCGATTGTTCTGGGTAAGAGTTACGGTCAGTCTTGACCCTGAAATGAGTCACAAGAAGTTTCAGTTTGGAGTACAAATCAAACTTAAATAAATAAAATGAATTAATACGCTGGATTTTCCTCACATCTCAGTGAGGAGTGGACATAATTTTTTATAGGTATAAATTATAATTTCAGTCACAGTTCAACTGAATGGAACTGAATTGAATTCAGTTTGGTTTTTTTTGCTCAGATCCTTTACCATTATGTTGCATCACTTTACACTAAGCTGGATTACACTATGACACGTTACATTAACTTACACTACATTATGTTAGGTAACATCAGATTAGGTCACGCTCCTTCACTACTTAATATTTTCCAGGCCTTGATCTTGACTCCTCATTCAGTCAGAGGTCAGGGGACAGAAAAGTGGGTAAATGTTCTTGGGTGGCAGACGGGGACAGAAAAACAACGACATTTACAGACGATGTAGAGAAAAATGTTTGTTGTTTAATCTTGGTCTAAGGTCTTTTCAGATGAGCCATTCTCCCTCATCAAAGTCCTCCAATATTAGTCCAAATCTGTCATTTAATGACATCATCATCTGTTTGGATTAATTCAGGTGTTAATTCAGTCTTTAACCTAAAGATGCTGATGAATGTTCTCTGCTGACTTTGCTGCAGGTATTTAAAAATATATCAACAGTCAAACGGCAGCAGATAAAAAGATAAAACATCACAGACACAGACAGATTTATGAGGTGAGTCTTCTGTGTAGTGGCTGAGACAAAGGTTTTAGGATGAGAGAGTGTAATGTTTGGGTGGTTTTTTTGACAATGCCATATATTGCGGGTTACTTTGTCTTGGTTCCTTTGTCTCTACAAGTCGCTGCAGTAACAGCAGGTCGGTGGATGAACTCTTATATCTTACTTACCATGGTAACAGGCAGAGTTTTCTGATTATAGTCCCAGTAGTGATGGTAATAACAGCCTCTCTTCTCTGGCTCTTGAACGCACACTGGTGTCTTGCGTCCACGTCTTCCCACTGCCTCCCTGTTTCTTGCAAAGACAGCCATTCATTAAATATACAAGACGGAGCTTTAAATAAAGTGGAGCAGGAGCAGGCTGCCCCCCCGACGGCCGCTGGGGATCACATGATAGAGGAGAAGCTGCTCGTTTTTTAAACTTGCAAGACTCACACACACACCCACAAACAGCACTACCTACAGTATACACCACAAACACACACACACCTTGTGATGACTGTATCATTATGTCTTCACACCACCTCACAAAAGACACCGTGTCAGCAAATCCTGTCGTCTTCAACTCTCAGGTTCCTACAATAGACTGTGTCTCAGCAACATCTGCACTTTATTCAAGGACGCCTCTCCATCTGCTCGTCTTCTCTTCATTTGTTCCTTTGTTGAGTTTAGTTGGGGGGGGGGTGCAGAAGGAGGGGTTACATATTTACGAGACTGTTTACTTTTAGAACATTGCCTGAACTGGGTTTAATTTAATCTGCTTATTTTTTTTATTATTATTATCCTCTTCTGCGTCCAATTCTTGCCCATGGTTCCAGCTCATTCTAGCAGTTTTCAGAGTCTGTTGTGAATCACTGTATACACTTAACTAACAATACAACACTGTCTGATACCTCTCCTTATAAACAGGACCCTCCCATTGGTTTCAAACTAGAATGAATCAAAGTCTACAGGACTCGTTCCATTTTTGTTGGTATGAGGTCACGAGGGGAAAAAAAACAATTTTTAACTACCTATCATGAGGCTAACCTAATTATATTTGTCTATGTCTATCCAAACATTATGCTTCATGCTAATGCTCTACGCAGCTTTTTCAACTGACAGACTGAGGTTTGGAACAAGATGGTATTTTTAAAGTCAAAGTGACACAGAAGCTGCTGGTCCAGACTTTGACTTGTTTATCTTTTATCTAGCGCTAGTTTTTTTTATTGATAGATGACGATGATAGCATGTTGGTCTGCACTGAGGCCTGGCACCATTATCATTACTTTGCATCTAGGCCCAAAAACACATTCCTTAAAAATAAATTAAAAAAAATATTATTTTTTAAAATTACATACAGTATATTTTCTAACATTTCTAACACATGCTCTTTTACTCTTTCATCTCTTTCAGATGGTGATGTACATCGGCCAGGTGATGAAGGATGTGCTTAAGCTACCTCGTCCTCTGTCGCCCCCTGTGGTCAAACTGGAGACGCGCGTTGATGCAGAGTACGGCCTTCCCTCCACACATGCTATGGCCTCCACTGCCATCTTCTTCAGTTTTTTACTCAGTGCGCCATCAAGGATACAGGTGAGCGTTGGTGACGCTGCGACAGACACAGCACAGAAACATGTGTTAGGAAGTGATCGGAGGAGAAATGTCAACATTAGCCACAAACTGTCCATGGTAGTGGTACCTGCAACCAGAAGGCTCAGGGTTCCACACCACGTAGTCCCTCACCCTTATGATCACAACTCCCCTGCATTTGGAACTGGTTGTGCTCACCGCCTTTGTTTTACTACAGTGATAATCTGTTCAGATATTCAGCCACTCGGGGGCTAACTGCCGGTATTTCCTGGCACTCAGTTAGAACTGGTGTAAAAACTCTGCCAAATCACTGTGCGGACTACCGCTGCGGAGAGACTGGTGGTTCAAACCGTTCTTGGTTTTCTACTAGCTCGCAGCCCTGCAGCCTTTCACGCAGACACACTGACATTGGAAACATCTGCACAGACGGACACGTTAAATGAATTCTTTTGTTATCTCAGACAGACGTGACTGGCGTCAGCGAGCGTTTAAATGGAGCACAGGTGAAGCCAGAGCTCGTCTGATGTGCAGACACGGCCAGAACACAGTTTTACTTTTTATTTGACTTTTATTTTGCCAGGTGTTAGCAGTTGTACTTAACGCTGGCAGCATGTGATTGGACCAATCGGAAACAGATGTTAATGTTGAATCCGCATCTGTCGTTATTTCAATTTTTGGGGATGTTTTGTTGCTTTTGCTACTTTTTAACTAGTTTTTACTGTGAATGAGCTTGTTTTTTTTTGTTATAGTTTTGTCTAGAGATACGATATTAACCTTCTGACGATATCCGATATACCAGTGTTGTCCAAACACTTCATTTCCGATTCCGATATCCACCGATAACCAATACAAGCAGCCGTTTGTGTTAAAGACAGAGGACACAAAATAGTTTCATTTTCACTTAAACTATTTTCAGGTCACATCAGCTAAGCCAAACCCAGACATGGCGTTATCGGGTTTAATAATATAATATATATAATATAATATCGGACATCCCTAGTTTTGTCACCCCGGGTTTTTTTTACCCTGAATTTCTTCACAGTAGCAGTGGTGAGAATGCCTTTTTCTTGGAAACTCGGGTATCCAACAACGAAAGCAGTTTATATTTTAAATTTTTCTGCCCCCACTTTGAAAGCCACTGGTCCAAATAACGATGTATTGCAGAATCTTCCAGATTAATATTGTGATTGTACATGATACATGCACATGGTGAGCAACTCCCATAACAGCAGGATTATATTCCTTTTTTTCCATGTCGCCGCGCTAGACGAAGGAGAACGAGCCTTTAATCTTCATGATTCATACTATGATCGAGAACTCAGCACCAAGACCACAGCTCTACCAGCAGGTAAGGTCTTTAAGAGGCTCCGCCTTGAGACTGATTGGACTATTGTTGACTTTGCCCCATACATTCATATTTTTACAGCTACTGATTAAAGGGTCCACTTCGATAAGAAGTTCGTATCAGTTAGGTATACGTTGATCGTTACAAAACGCAGTTAATTAATTAATGCGATATCTGTATCTATCTGACCCTTGAATTAGTGAGTACAAAAGAATAAAATTTCATTGCATGTTATATACCCTCAACATAACGTAGGCTCTATCAGCACTAGACTGATGCTGCGTTCACACCACATGCAATAGCTGTAGGAAAAAGAAAGCTTGAAATGCATGTATTGTGCCGCTTGATCATTTTAGCATCTTCGTTTTATTCGCACCTGTCAGTGAAACACACACATATACATATTTATAGACCCTCCCTTGATTCCTTTTTTGACTCTGCTTGCTCACAGGTCGGCACAGACTACTGCAAAGACAACGTCCATCACGCGGACGAGGCCGATGTAGACGTAAGAAACTGTCAGACACACTCTCTGACACATTTGTACTGGCCAATATTCAGGAGTGTGTATGTGTGTTTGTGTGTGTGTACGTGTCAGACCAAGCTAAGCAGACTGTGTGAACAGGACAAGGCTGTGAGGACGCAGGAAGAGAAAATGCAGCAGCTTCACAGAGAGAAGGTAGAGCAGTGTCTCTCTGTCTGCCTCTGTCATCACATGACACCGTAGTTGTGGTTTTTTGTAAAGTTGGTGTTTAAATTAGGGATGTCCGAAGATATTGGCCGACCGATATTATTGGCCCGATATTAACATATAATTTAATATCTGTAAGAATTGTTATCGTTTTTTCCTCTGATAATAAAAACCCAGTTACGCAATGCCAGGGTTTCGCCAAAATGTGCCCAACATATTTTTGGTGAAAGTCACTAGATGGCAGCATTGCAGCTCATTTAATTAAGCTCGTACTCATACAGTGGTACATGTTTGTACAGATAAATAAATAAATATTACCAGGCCTATATCAGTATCGGTTGATATCGGAATCGGAATTTAGGTGTTTGGACAATATCGGCAATAATATAATATCGGACATCCCTAGTTTTGTCACCCCGGGTTGGTTTTACCCTGAATTTCTTCACAGTAGCTTCACAATAGAAATGATAACGACCAGGGATGAGTGTGACTCTTATCACAGCTAATTCCAACTTTATATCTTTTTAGCAGCATCAAGGCGTGTGTAGGTGTTAAGTTCAGTCACTCTTAAAGAAAAGATTCTCTGACGTAGAAGTTAAATGAGGCGACATCTGAGGAAATCTCAGGCTGTGGACAGCCGCTCACGCAACAGTGGCTGTAGAGACTAAGAGGCGTGGCCAAGCCATCCATCACTCAGTCCCAACTGAGCTGTTGGACAATGGGCAGGGAGGGGCGGGGCCGGCAGTCACCATCAGTCACCCTCAGCCAAACCCGTGGAAGTGCTGTTATGGTCTGGTGATGGACTCAACCGAGTCAATGACTGTCACTCCATGTCACTGCCGCGCCCTCTTTATCTTTCCGGGGCTCAGTCAATAAAACCCTGAGTGGCTCCATCAAAGGCTGTCTTAATCAGGCCTGGTGTTTTAATGATGAGTCTTAGTGAGTGTTGGCACTCTGCAGTCTCCACTGCTGTCACTCTGATTTGTGTTCAGCTCCAGTAGACCTCCGTCGGGTTCCTTCAGTTCTGATTTAAGTGTCGCTCTCAAGGTCAGAGAGCTCCTCTGAGGAACCCTGTATCGACCCGTGTACAGCCAGGCTCTAAACCCTGGCCTGGAATTCTTTGAGAATTCCTGTGTTTGAAAAGAACACGCAGAGCTGTAAACGAGGAGCAGACTGTGAGACAGAGGCTCCTGAATGGCCACTAGGCCTCAGGGCAACTGAGTCCCCATTCCCAGTGTAGGTCAGAGGTCGTGACAGTCAATCACAGTGTGGCTACCCCTCCCTCCTGTCCTCCCCACTATCCCTCCTGTCTCTGGCACCCTTTGTGGCCATTCATAAATAAAAAAGAAAACTCTCTTCATGAACTACCAGTGAATAGGCTTCCAGCTGCAAAGGACAGGAAAAGACAGAGGAAAAGGGGGAGGAAGGGGGAGAGGGGAGGGTGGAGGAGGTGAATTGATGCACAAGGCCTCTCTTCTCACTGTTATTGAAATGGAGCAGAGGAGGAGGAGGAGGAGGAGGAGGAGGAGGAACAAAACCTGCCGCCATAGGTAAAGGAGGCAGGAAAGAGAGGATGAGACAGTGGAGGAAGAAAGAGGGGCAGGGGGGCTTGAAGGGAGGCAGTACGTCCAACTGATGGTAGAGACCCAGTGGCGGAAAGAGGAGTTACATGTCTGGGGTGAAAAATGAATGGGATGACAAGACTCTCTGTCCTTTACTGAGGAATGTGAAGAATCTGAGGTGAATGGGACGGAAGAAAAGTGGAATTTTTTTTTTTCTATGGGTCTTAGTCAGTGATGTTTAAGGCTGCATTTAATTTGTTTTTTATTAAACTTAAATGATTAAATCATCTGGGTCTTAGTCAGTGATGTTTAAGGCTACATTTAATTGTTTTTTTAATTTGTATTAAACTTAAATGATTAAATCATAAGTCATTGACTGCATGTCAAGTAAAATATTGGGTAAAAAAGGGAACACTTTTATTTGGCCAAAAGTTAGAACTAATAGTTTCCCATATTTTTGGGTAAAAAAGGGAACACTTTTATTTTTATTATCATATAATCACAATATGGGCCATATCTCTGGTAACTACAACCAGATCTGACTACTTCCTTGACCTGTATGTGGTAAGACAAATATTTTACCACTCTGGCCTTTTGTCTCACTCCAACTCAAACTAAGCCTGACCCCTTCTGTCCCTGTGGCCCCAGCGTTCTCCCACAACCTCTGTTCAAATCTCTGTCAACTTCTAAACAGCCAACTTCCACAACACCGTGAGCCAATAAAATATTAAATAAAAAACATATAATAACAATAATAATAAAAAAAACACAATACATTGGACTCTTCAGTCACAGTAACATTTAACTGGGGATCTGCATCCACTACAGAGGATTGATTGGCCAATTGTGATTGATTGGACATTTTTTTATACTTTTTTTTCCCACACACTTGGACATCTTCAAACACACATTCACATTAATTCAACACATTATGAATGGATGGATGAATGCACACTTTGATCACAGTCACAGTGTACTCACCTGTTGTATCTCGATGGATGAAATACTGTCCCCCGTGTAGGTCTCACCCTAAAAAACAGACAAGTATTACTGATTTATAATTGCAGCAAAATTAATTTTATTTCCAGTTATCATTCATCTCAGCCTCACTGACGTGGCTCTGTGTCAGTGAGGCTCTTTAATGAAGATTTCACTGTGTACTCCAGCGTTCATTAGCCCTCTGTGGTAGATTTTTATGGTACATTATCTACACGTGTGCATTAGAAAAACGACATCCTATTAAAAATGTAAATTATTTATTGCCAGATTATTATTGAGTGATGAACCATCGCAGTCCTATCTACAGTAGCCGTCACATCAAGATGCTGCCAGACATGAATTACAGTTCTGATGATGTACGTTTTTAAAGTTCTGAGGACAAAGAATAAAATCACTTTTGGAGAATTTGACCTAAAGAATAAAAATGTTGGTTTCTGTTCTACATCCAGCATCTTCCTGAAGAAGCATCATTACACAGTACAAAATGCAGTACCTTTAGCTCTCTGTGAGTTTCCTCACTTCCTGTCACCTTGATTCCCCTCTGCGATAGAAAGAATTTGATAAAAAAAAAAAAAGGTTATTAAAAGTCAGAGATGACAACAGACAGCCACAGTTCTGCTCTACACTGAGGATCGTAAGGAATTTCAGATACATGTGACACATGACAGCAGAGATTATATCATTTATCTGCTCCATCAGCAGGTGGTGCGTGTCACTGTGTGTTAGCTTTCCTTACAATGACCTTTACTGTCAATCATCACTCTGTGTGTGTTTCTCTCACCCAGTTCCAGTTCGAGGTGGGTGTGCTGATCGCCGTGACGCTGTCGTCCTTGGTTTGTCTGAGCCGTCTCTACACTGGCATGCACTCAGTTTTGGTGAGAGTACAAAGAAACAAAAACACCACAGCATAAAACACAACATGAAATCTATGTCTGGTTAAGTGTCTGACTGATAATGACGCACAGTCCATGGATAAAAACATGGCTGCAGCAAAAACAAAACACTAGCCTCTTTGTTCAGCCGCTGAATGAAATTCTCCTGTAACAAAAAAAACAAAAAAACAAACAGCTTAAATTATCACTGTGACATGTTTACATTGGACGGAAAAAAAAAAAAAAAAAAACAGCTTAAATTATCACTGTGTCATGTTTACATTGGATGGTGTGTTTTTGAAGAAAAAAAAAAAAAGTTAACCACTTACCTTCCTACTAAAAAGTCCACAAGGGACTAATAGTGTCGTAAGCTCTTGCTAATGTGCTAGCTGCTTCATCAGTGTTTGGTGAATCCAAATGACAGTTTTGAAACACTTAAAATAATGAAATTGGACGTTAAACAATTAGATTAAATTAACAAACAGCCATGAGAATATAATACAATATATAATATTGTCATTGTCATGTTACTCTTCCTTCAGGATGTGATCTGCGGCGCTCTGATCTCTGTTCTACTGGTGTTCCTGACATATCCATACTGGGAAACCTTTGACAGTTTGCAGCTGACCAGTCACATCTCCCCCGTTATTTCCTTGGTTTTGCCGATCTTCCTCATCTACATCTACCCAGAGCTGGACCACTACAGCACCACCCGGGGGGACACCACCACCATTCTAGCAGTGGGGGCTGGATGCTCTGTCGGCTACTGGGTGAATGAGCAGCTGGGGCAGACCTTCGAGCCCCAGGGGCCGTTACCTGTTCCTCTACCTACTCTCACAGCTAAAGTTCTAGTTATAGCCGCGGTCCGATTTCTCTTAGGGGTCGCTGCGTTAGTGGCAACTCGGCAGATAATAAAAACCCTCAGTCTGCGTGTGTTATATTCATGGTACGGGGTGTCGAAAAGAGACAAGCACGTCAGGAGGAGGAAAGAAATCGAAGTGCCACAGAAGTTTGCTACGTACACGTCGATCGGACTCGTAAATTCTATACTGGTTAACAGACTCTTCATGTCATTAGGCCTGCTATGACCTGAACACGACGAGCCCAACTCCAAACAACAAAATGTACCTCATATTTATTTCAGTACGTGGTTTTTTTTTCAAGAGTGGTTCTATGTGGTACTTACGCAGCGTGAACTTCCTGCGCTGCACAAATTTAATAACTAAAACATGTTAGGACGAGTATCTGGGGCGTCGCCAATAGCTTATATTACTGTACTACATATATATATATTTATTAAGCTTGAGCTGTGTTACATTTATATGATCAGGTTTTACAACAATCCCAAATTGTGAAATCAGAGTAAATTCAGCAGCGTGTGAGGTTTGAGGGGAGGGCACGTCCTCAACAAAACAGGATAAAGTGCAACATACAATTATTACATATAAAATTGTAGTTACGCACTATAAATTCTATTGCTATTACATTGTAATTGTGTAATTGTAAAAGTGATTGATTTTCCAATTCTATTGCTATTACATTGTAATTGTAAAAGTGATTGATTTTCAAAAAAAATAATATCATGCAGACTAAAGTAGATTAAAAAAAACCACCTGATTTAGGTGAAGTAAAGAAATAGGTTTCAAAATGCATTACACAGAATTTCAGGGGAAAAGGAATTAACCTGCCAAGAGGACAAAAGAGCTGCCTGTCAAATGTCACTTAATTTTAAAGGTTAATGTTACTGTAATATTAATGAAGAACAGAAATTTCACAAAATGACTTATTGAAACCAATAGAAATGTGCTAATGTGCTAGCCACACACATCAGTCTCTCAGACTGAAAACTACATTTAAACATCTGTAACTGTCCCTTTAATGGTAGACAAGGTAATCCTTGTTACTCAGCACTGAATGTCCTCACTGGGAATGATTTACGTTTGTTTTTGTGACCGACCCGTTAATGAGACCAAATAAATCCTTTTCCTTCTTTATGGCTCAGTTCTCTCTAATGGATTTGTTAAGTCAAGGTTTGCGTGACAACTCACGTATTTCTGAACATAATCGTGCAGGAGAAAACATCCATCCAAGCTTGGGGTGAGTGTCCCCTCAAGCTTAGAACAGACCATCTGTTCCCGCGGACTGGCCAGATCACTGTTGGTCAGGACTGGCTGAGCAGGAATCACAGAATCAGCCTTTGTTGGTGGCAGTAGGAGTGAGAGGAATATCTAAGTATCTTTTAAACTTTATTGTTTGCACAGCTCTTTTAAAATGTAAATTACCGGCTGTGAGCGCCTGCCTTTGACAGTACGTACGTAGAACTGGGGTCACAGCCCTGGTCTGTCAGGAGTTAGGTGTCCTAACAGGAAACTGAGGGATATTTGCACTAATACTGAGAAATGTCACTTAACAAGTCTGACACAGCATTCTATAGAGAAAAGCTGTGTGCAGACTGAAGTTTAACACTCAGTTGTTGTGATTATCCTGCTTAGATGAACCAACATGTTGATTAGTACATTTTTTTTCCTACCACAATCCAATAAAATTAATGTTGATGATCATGTTAACATATTTTTGTAATTTAAAATATATATACTATATTCAATATATTTTTAAAAAATGTATGTATACAGTATATACATGGAGTACATATATATACACATATATATATAAAGAGTAATACATATCACTATATATATTTCTAAAAGTGCAGTTTCTGCTTTAAGATAAACTTACAAATTCCTCCCTTGGAATCAATTAAGTATTTGATCCCAACTAGGAGATCAAATACTCGTAGTATTTGATCTCCTAATCGAACTGGGGATAAGGTTGACTCAACTTAAACTTCAACTATAAACTGACCGTCATTATCAGCGTGAGAGTGAATGGTTGTTTGTCTCATATACGGTGAACTGTCCAGGTTGTAACTCCAGCATCACCAGACAAATGCTGGGATTCGCAACAGCGCCTCCTTCAGCCCTGCAAAAGATTAAGCGGGAGAAACTGGTGTGTTAACAAATGCACATACAATTGGAATTTTCTACTATAAGATTTTGGTTTGTGCAAAGTTTTCCAGCATAGAGACTTCCAGTTCAAGCCTAGACGTAGAAGGAAGAGAAAAGTTAAGACACATCCTGAAGGTTTCACACCAAACTCCCACAGTTGACCTCCCACAGAGGCTGGATATTTTTGGACTCCACTTTTTACTTTAATGAAAAAGACATGAAGCAGACATCAAAACATGAAAAGGATTTAATTTGATTTTCAAAGGCAACTATGTCAAACGATCAATAACCTCTGGTCACTGGACCCTAGGCCTATCTGCTGGACAGTGTGTTTCAGACATCACCACAGAACATGACTACTGTTACCACTGAGAGGATTTGTTCTGTCTGGTTTAGATCTTGTTGAAGGCTGCCACATCCACAGACTGGACAAAGTCCTCGAAGGCGGTGATGGCTTCCTCCAGGAGGTCTGTTCCCACTTTGTCATCCTCCACCACGCATCCTATCTGCAGCTTTTTGATACCGTAGCCCACTGGTACCAGCTTG